TAAATATTTTTTGTAAAATCATCAATAATTCAAGAATGATGGTTTCTTAATAAAAAAAAAAATGAAAATTACCATTTCTATAAGAAAAATTTGCTTAAAGAGCGACTTGTTATGATTTTTATTTTAAATAAGCTGAAAATTATGCAAATTTTTGTTTAAGTAAAATTTTTATTTTTTTGTTTACCGCCAATACTATTATTTTATTTTATTTTTTTTAATTAATTTAATTTCATTATAATTTTTAATAAAAACATTTCACAAAAAACTAGGCGTAATTTCCTTGAAAAATAATTTACTCATAATTTGACTCATACATACATAAATATGTATTAGACATTCCCTCGCTCCGCCTTTCTGCTGCGTCATCAAATGACAGACAGCTGGAGTGCTACAGGAATGTTCACACACGCACGCACATGCATGCAAAAGTAAATAAAAATGTGTATAAGTAAATGGAAAAGTTCTACGCGCCCTTTCCAACGCAAGCGCTGCCATAATTGTATTTGCTTACATGCATCATCACATTTATTACACACTAATATACACATATAAAAACTCAACTAGATATACAAAACAATATTTTCGTAAACATTTGCATACGTCTGTGCATACATTTGATATAGAATAGTAAGACAGCGCTCATTATGGGCGCAATCCTAATGAGTTTTTAATGGCGTTGTTGGCGGCGCCAATGATGGCGCTATGGCTCAGCGCAAGAAATGCGGACGCGCAGCCAATGCGCAACGATGCCAACGTCAATGACGACGTCAGCGACGGCAATGATGCGTGCTACGTACCGCCAAAATTTAGGCACGGGCAGTGCGTTTCGATTGGTGGGAAGGTCGCACAGTTGCACCCATACAGCGTGATATATACATATATGTATGTATGTATGTATATGGATATATAATATGTAATATATATGTATATAGAAAGCTTCATATATATATTTGTATTTCATGCGTAGAAAAGCGATGTATTTGCTGCCATGAGCGATATTTCTTTGATTAGGTCAACTAATATTAGAAATACTTTATTAAATAATTATGTAATCTACAAAATTTAGCGCCTAAAATAGTTAATCTTATTGCTTTCGCGCTATTTTCAACTGCAAGCTTGCATAAATAATGGCTAATGCCGTTAAAAATTGATCTTGCCGACGCTAAGCAGCTTGTAAGTATGCTATAAGCTTATATAATATTCATTTATATACTTATGTACATATATACATATGTGTAAGTATTCATACTCAAAGTTGTAATCGATATGTTGACACCTATTTCGTTTCGCACATAACCTACTCCTGGCTGAGGTTTCTCCTTCAATGCTTTCTTACCCCTAACTTTGTTGTTGTCCTTAATTCTTAACTTTTGCTTACTCTGCTGCTTCTTACTCGCATTTTGTTTTGCTTTTTCATTATTTTTATAGTTTTCCAATATGCTCTTGATTATATTACTGCCGCAGCTTATACAATATAATGCCTAAGCAAAAAGCTTCCTAGCATCTGTAAACATTTGCATGTTTGGCTGTGTGTGTGTGTGTGTGTGTGGCACACCAAACACAACAACTGATTTTTTTTGTACACACAGCAAACCGCGTTTTTATTTTCCATTTTTAATGGCGTTTTCGTATTGTTTTGTTGCCACAAAAACATTTGTATTGTTGTTTTTGTTGTTATTGCCGTTGACGCCATCACTGTGCCACCGAGCGCATGCTATTTCGGTAAATATTACGAGCAAATACATACAAACATATTTATAATATTTTAAGTATTTTCCAATAGCGCCACGGCGCGGCACATACACACACATATATATATATATACATATATATATTTAATACACATTTTCGCCACCAACACATGCATACACGTATATTTTATTATGTACAAATTTCCATTTCCCTTACATAAAGTTTTTTGGTGTTTTATTCTTGTTGCTTTTATTGCTGTGTGTCAATTTTTTGACACTTGGAAAAATACTTGAAAGCAATGCAGCAACGTAGAATTTTTCAAAAAACTTTTTTCGATTGTCATACTGCGTCATCACACAAATTTACATACGCCACAGGYATATTTGTATATACATATGTATTGTATATATATATGTGTGTTCAAGGGTTTGTTTTGTTAGGTGTGTAAGTATGTGCCTAAACATGCCTTTATTGCATAATAAAGCATGTCTGCCACTTATGCACATCCATATTTGAACATATTTGTCCATAAGTGCGTACATATTTACATGCATACATACATATAAATATGTAAATATTGCACTGTAAGCATTCTATTGCATATTTCTATTAATATGGCGGCCATAATGTCGCCGCTACCGAATTTAGAGTACAAAAACAAATATTTGGTTTTGGTGCTTGAAGAAAAATGGTGAAAAAATAAGTAAGGAAGAGCTTAGCTCGGATATAGTCGAACATTTCATGCCCTTGCAACTTGCAAGAATCAGAGCCAGTAAAGTATCATTAGGTTATAAGGTTTGTTAGTTAGGCGAGTTTATTCATTCTAAGTACAAATGTGTACCGTTATGAGAAAAACTCGCTCTCTTAATTGTATTWAGATAACTCACATATTTACCGATAAGTGCGGTATAAAGTCAAATCTTTGTATTAGGTATATATGGGCTAATGGAAGTAATGACCCGATGCAACCATTTGGAAGCACACAGACATATTACTATCAGGAAATGTTTATCTCTGAATTAAGTACTGGG